TTGGCTATCGGACATGATGATAATCTCTTGTCTCCGATAGTTTCTATCGTTACAAAAAACAGAGAAAAACGAAGTCATTGCGTGGAGACATGATTATTTAAGGAAAATAACGGACTCAAGGAATCAGTATAAACAGGTATTTTATTTAGATGAAAAATGGGTTAATGCTGGACATATAGTAATAAAAATTTGGCAAGATACCTCCATCAAAACAAAACAAAATAGCCTTTATGGAACGTGTGTGTACGTGTGTGTGTATGTGTGAGTGCGCGCGCGCGCGTGTGTCCCCTTTATTTAATATCAAAATTGATAACATGCTAATGATTTATTGACTCAAAAATATAACCATACAAAATTTCAAGTCATATTTGGAGGTTCTGAACCTATGATTAAAATATTAACCATTCCTTATGAAACACCCTGTATTATAACAAGTTTATTACAACACTTATGCATATAGGTAATTAAGGTTTACATCAATATACTTACCTAAATACTGTTTGCTGTTAAGAACATTTTATTGCAATTACGAGATCCCTCCTTGTGAGATTGTTTAGGTTTGGTAACAAAATAAGCATTTATCTTTGGAATTTGTCTATTAATTATCTAAAACGTTGCAGTTATAATTTAATACCTACTATCAGAGCTGTCACCTATCAGTGAGATTTAAATAATTTTTTAATTTAAACTTTGATTTTAAAGTTATTTAAAAAAATTATTTTTGATTTACTATTTAAATCTTTCTAAAAAGTATCTTTATTTTTTTATTTAAAAATTAGAATTAAATCTTTTTAAAACGATTTAAATCTTTTTATTAATTTAAATCTTTCTAAAATGATTTAAATCTGTCAAATAATGCGATCTTTTTAAAATGATTTAAAATTTCTAAAATATTTAAATCATTTTAAAACAATTTACATCTTTTCAAAATGATTTAAGTCCGTAAAAATATTTATATCTATAAAAACACTCAAGAGACGAGAAGGGGGCTGAAATCACCTGATTCGTCAAAATCGTTATCAACCTGTCCATCTCTGAATAATAATCTAGCCAGCATGTCAGTAGAGTTGCCAACTTTGTGAATCAGAAATCCGGGAGAAAAGAAAAACAAACAATAGTAAAGTGTAACAAATAATTGAAATAACTAAAGATTATTCTTAAGTATGAAATTTTACAATATTTTTGACCTGATATTTTTTTTGTAAACTTGTATTTTTTACACCGTAAGCAGCTGGAAATACTTTTTCATTATCGATATAATCATAAAACTCTTTACATATGTATTTTAAATTTATGCACACTTTTATTTCAGATTTGACATGAGTTGCATTAAGACGATTATGAATTTTTGACCAGTTCAATAAACACGCTCGGCATAGATATATTTCGAAAAGATTTAAATCTTTCCTAAAATTATTTAAATTGTAAAAACGAGTTTTGATTTAAATCTTTCTTTTTAAAAAATCGATCTTTGATTTAAATCATTTGTTCAAACGCAAACGATTTATGATCTTTGATTTAAATCGTTTTTAAAATGATTTTAAACAGCTCTGCCTACTATTCTGTAAATATAACATCAAAATGCCTAACACTTATTTTTTTCAAAATCCATTTGAACAATATTTACAATTTTGCAGAAAAGAATACACACTACTTTCCTTATTTAATTATTCTTGTCTACTATAAAAATGATGAAAATTAGCAATGCCCTCACTTTGTTTTGATGAAATATGAGTTATTATTATAGGTATGTGGTAGTACTTTTCTTCTCATTGTTTTGATTTTCTATTGCGTTTGTTAAATAGAGTATTAGTAGACATTAATAAATTACCATTATTAAATAAAAAAAAAATTGGATACAGACGTATTTTTCACTTGATATAGCTAAAACATTAAAATTAACCGAATTTGTCTCACAGTTCGCCGTCATTGTTTTTATTTACAGTACTTGATTTTTTGGCGACCTCTGGTGGATTTTTTAGTAGGGGAAGGTCGGGCAAAGTGAAATAGGCGGGCAAAGTGAAATTTTGGTATATTATTTTTTGAAATTGGCGGGTTCAAGTTTTACTGCTACAAGAAGCTAGCTTCCTTAAGTTGGTACTTATTGTAATATGAAAGTTGTAATGCAAGTTCCGCATGTGATAATACGACTTTTAGTGTTTTTAAGTGAAAAACTGTAATATTCGTACCATTTTTTGGAACGAATCATACGAAAACGGTAAGTGATTAATTCCTGTCTATTTGTCAGCTTATATTATACATGTTTAGAAGCATTTTAAAGTGTTTACGGTCCCTATTTATCGTTTTGGTAAAAAGGTGGATTTGCTTTTGACGGTCGCGGCAAGGCGGGCAAAATGAAATAAAGGTGTTGCTGGCAAAGTGAAATATTTCACTTTGCCCGCTCAGTTAGGGCAATGTGAAATGGCTGTTGTTGTCGCATGATATATGACCAAGCTTAGTGCTCTTTTTTATTTTCAGATAAGATGGTGCATAAATATATTAGAAAGACTACCCAACAATCATGGGAGAAAAATAGCATGGAAGCTGCAATAGCGGCTTGTAGAGCTGGAACATCAATTAATGCCGCAGCTCGCCAGCACAATATTCCTCCTGCGACGCTCTTCCGGAGAATAAAAGCACCAGTAGATCAATGTGTTAATAAAAAACTTGGAAGATATCGTTCTGTATTTAGTGAAGAACAAGAAAAGATTTTAGTTGACTACGTTTTACAAATGGAAGAGCGACTCTTTGGTTTAACCTTAGTAGATCTTAAATCTGTCGCATATCAATTGGCTGTCAGGAACATTTCTTACCCATTTAATACTGAAAAACAGGTAGTCGGCAAAGATTGGGTTAATGGCTTTTTAAAAAGAAACCCAACATTATCACTGCGGCTTCCAGAGAAAACCTCAGCAGCTAGAGCCTCGGCCTTTAATGAGGTTAATGTTAAAAAGTTTTTCAATCTACTTGATAAATAATATGAAAATCACCGATACCCCCCGAATCGCATATATAATTGTGATGAGACGGGAATTACAACAGTTCCAAATAAGCCTTCCAAAATTATATCAAAAAAGGGGAAAAAACAGGTGGGAGTTCTGTCTTCAGCCGAGAGAGGAACGCTGGTTATTGCTGAAATTTGCTTCAATGCGGCCGGAGAATATATTCCTCCAGCTTTGGTATTTCCAAGGGTTCGACACAATGTGACTTTTGAAAACGGTGTTCCTCCAAACACAACAATTTTTACCCATCCAACAGGTTGGATGCAAACAGATATATTTCCTGAGTGGTTCCAACATTTTCTAAAATGTGCAAAGCCAACAGCTGAAGACCGTGTCCTACTCATTTTAGATGGCCACTCTACTCACATAAAAAATATTGACATGCTGACTGTAGCCAAAGAAACTTTTGTGGATATTCTCGTTCTGCCTCCGCATTGAACACATCGGTTACAACCGCTTGATGTTTCCTTTATGTATCCGATTTCCACATTTTATCAGCAAGCTGTAAGAGTGTGGCTGCGAGAAAACCCCGGAAAAATCGTAACTATTCATGAAATTGGAGCCCTATTTGGCGAAGCCTACTTAAAGGCAGCCACGATGGAAACGGCGATTTCCTGCTTCAAAAAACGGGCATATATCCATTTCAAAGAATTTTCGGTGCAAGCTCCTTTGCTGCAGCTGAAACAACTAATCGTGAGGCAACTGCTGGAACAAGTCAAGATCAAAGAACATGTGCCGTCCAAGAAAAACCGCAAACACCGTCAAATGTGATTCCGGAAGGTTCTATTATTGTTTCTCCCCAGGACATACTACCGATTCCTCGAGTTTTTAATCAAGGAGATGGCGCCCCAAAAAGGAAGAGAAGTCATGGATCCACAGTAGTTGCGACTTCAACCCCTTTTATGGAGGAGCTGAAAATTTCCAAGCAACGAAAGGAACCAGCGGCGAAAAAGAAAAAACAGATACTCAAGAAGCAATTGTTTCCCGAGAATGATACTGAGAGCGAGAGTAGTGAGATAGATCCACCCCTGGACGATGAGAGCAGCTTCGAGTTGGACGATCAAACCTCTCCAACTGGCCCCACAGGTAAATGCTGCACGATTACGGATTTGGAAGAAGGGAGTTGGGTTGCAGTTAACTATGAAGGAAACCTTTTTCCTGGTTTAGTCATAAACCGTGCGAACACAGAAGTGACTGTAAAATGCATGGAAAAATGTCAAAAATGTTTTCGTTGGCCTAACAAAGAAGATATAATGACTTATGGGGAAGAAGACATTTACATGGACATTAAAAAGCCAAAAGAGCTGAGGCGAGGTTTTTTTGATGTACCCGAACTGGGTACTTATGCAACCCCATAACATTTTATTATTTTCTTTATAATATGTGATGTTATATAAATGTGTTTGACTTTAATTTTTTTATTATTAAAATAAGGTTTTAGATATATTTTATAGTATTTCACTTTGCCCTCACGAAAATTTCACTTTGCCCGCAACATGGCGGGCAAAGTGAAATTTGCATTCTCATCGATTTTAATTTTTTTTCTCCCGGGTGTCGTTAGGTCAGCGGTTTTTAGCTAATACATTGTGAACATGTATAATATAGAAACCAATTGCGCATAAGATTGTTTTTCTGAGTGCACCCACAAGACCACAGGAAATGATCAAACGTTAACTATTCCACTTTGCCCGACCTTCCCCTACTATGCACAATTTGGTGCCACATTTTAAAGGAAGTTGAAACAACACCTTTAAAATGTCATTTATCGTGTACTTTCCACTGCATAGAGATACATGGGCCAAACCTCGTAAAAGTGGCCAGAGTTGACCAGAAATCAGCTGAGAATCGCAAAATATAAACATAAAACATCAATGGCGCCTCTATCGAGTGATTTAGCTTACCATTTACCTCAATACAGTGGTAGAATGTATAGCAATTTATTTTTCTTGCACTCAATAAGAAAATAAGAACTAGTAAAAAATGTGAAATTTTACTTACGTTTGCTGCATCCAGCATATGGTTGGAGTCTAACAGGATATTTTTTCTCACAATCACATTTTCCAGTAACGGGATTACAGTAAACGTGAAGTAATTTAGCACTACACGTGAATTCACAAAGAGATCCCACATATTGCCCTTTTTCATCTGAAAATGTAAAATGTTTTAATATTAAACTAGTTCTTTTTTTAAATCAGTAGATACAAAGACACAAACGAATAAAAACAATAGAAAAGCATTTCTCAAAATATTTTTTAAAGAACTCTTTGTGCACAATCCTTGTATACTGTAATAACGTCAGCAAATGGTTAAGGCTAGCAAATTAGCTCATACATTATAGTCAATGTGGTCGGACGAAACGCACGTGATGGGATGTGGTGGTGTTAAAGTTAGAACAAGGGAATTAAATGGAAATACACCCTCTACCCTAGGAATATTATTACATCGTTACATTCGAAAATTACAACTGTCATTACGAAATCATATATTCCTTAATAGGACCCATACACGTTGTTAAAGAGCAAACTGAATGCGGTATTCTATACCGCATTCAGTTATATGGTTAACGAATTTATAAAACTAAAATTTATATTTTAAATTTGTGGTCAATATACAGGGTGTTAAAAAAAAGTGTCACAAAATAAAACGGGGGGTAGTATGGGCCAAAATATGCAGAAAAGTCTTAATAAACATATGTCCGCAAATGAATGGTTTCAGAGATTTGTGTTTTGTATCATTTTTTGATTATCTTTTTTCATTCTCAAAAACTTGCTTTTCTTATCGGAGTCTACCGATGTTTTTTCATAGATACTATTTGCAGTTATTATTTTGTTGTGGGTGAATAATTTTATAAATTTTCGTTATGTCTGTTTACACTAATATTGAATTAGCTGACATGCATTTTATGTACGGTCGTGCAAATGGCAATGCATTGAAATGGAGGGAGGGCACTTTGAACATCTCATTTAACCCTATGTTGTTATTGATTGTTTATAAATATTGTTTTTTATAATAATAAAAAATTGTTATAAACACAAAATGGTCAGTATCTCCGAAACCGTTAATTTGCGGTCATATATTTATTATTGCTTATTTTGGGTCATACTATTCACCATTTCATTTTGTGACACTTTTTTTTTAACACCCTGTATAACAGGCCGCTTGGAACCACACGTTAGATATTCAAAGACTATCCAAAAGAAATTATAGACTGAAGCAAAAAAAGAGAAGCCTGGAAAGGATAGCTGTAAACCAGAAGTCTCGAAAATAGGAATACATTGAAATCCGACAACCGGGGGTTGATAATTAATTTAAATAATTCTTATATATTACATATTATATTCAAATTTTATTTCGAATTCAAACAGTATACCAGCGTGTCCCGCCTCGTAGGCGCCGTTTTAATTACTTCTAGGAAAAAAACGTCGACTGGGAGATTCTCACGGCAGCTAGCTAAAAAAACACATGTTACCGATAGGGCTATATTCAGTAATTAATACAGGGCTCTATAGTCTTTATACACCGAAGGCACAGTCGATCTCTGTCTGATACATTTGCATATATGGGAAACTTAAGTATAAATACTGGGGTTTTTGTGGGCTGGGGGAACATTAGCTTTTTCTTCTTCGCCGAGTCGAGTTAACAAAAAACGCAAATATCCACGTTACCGCCACGGTGACTCCTTTTTCTTTATATTCTTCAAATATAATTAAAAAGAGATATCGCTACCCTTACGGTGGCCGCGCTTTTGTTATATTTTGACAACGGAAATAAAAGATATCGACGGAGTAGAGAAATTAGTTTCTATAAACGACGGCTTCTGCATAGATATCCAGTTATCCTTAGGATGACCACCTTTTCTTATATTTTATATATAAGTAAAAGGAGATATATAGTCAGGTTGACCAAGCAGATACACGTTGAGTAGAACCAGATTTCGCTCCTAGAACTGTTTTGTAAAGTTGTATCTACCGAGCGACTAAAATATTGGCGTAACTAATACTGGTGATACTTCGCTAGTCTAGTTAAACGCCAGATATTTTGTATCTCCGATTCAACAATTATAAAATGTTACTAAATGATTAAAAGTACTACTCTAGTACTTCTGGCTGACCCGACGAACTTGCGCCAGGTAGACACTTTTATCAGCGGTATACTTTTCTTTCTGTAAGGTTTCTTTTACGTAGAATTAAAACGATAATCGCACTATTAAAGTAATGAAACTAGTATTTAATATTCAGATATTCCGGGGGAGAATTTAGACAAACATTAATAGGTTACAGGTATCACTTAATTACTTTTATATTCATAAGCGGGAAAATTCGCGCATGTGTGTTATTGTCATATTTTTGGTATTCATTGGTAAACGTTTATTGTGGGAATAATTATAGGGTTTTTATATTGTGCTAAATTATGTTATTTAGAGAATCGATAGTGATGTTGTTGTCATAAATATTAATTGTTGTAAAGTCGGTCAATGCTCTTAAGTAATAAATTAAGTCATTTAGATTTATGGCCAAAGGGCCGAATTGTAAAGTTTCGGTTGTCTGTAAGCAGTCAGTAAAGATAAAAAGCACTTTCGGTTTTACTGTTAAATGGCAAACAGATGTAGATTAGTAGGGTAAACGTCTTGATTTGTATATATTTTACAGTTAGATTGCGGTTAAAAAAATATGTTTTCTGTCGTTCTTTGTAAAACAAAATTGGGTAGACAAATGTGTCATTTTAGCCGTACGGAGTTTTAGTTTTGTGTATCGATTTTTCGGGAAAAAGGGGATATGTACAGCGGCGGGTAGAATCATGAATATTGAGGAGGGTCGTATTTATTTGTACATATCCACATATCTTTAGCGGGACATTACGCGGAAGTAGTCGGTATGTTTGTTATTTATTTAGAATAAATAGGTGAACTTGTGTTTGTGGACTAGCTAACGTATCCTTAGAACTGTGATTAATAACACTGATTTGTCAATCGACAGAGCAAAAGAGCATCGTGCCAAAAAAGACGCCTTAGGCCACCATAGACCGCCAGGGACCTCAATAGTAAGGGCCTAAAAATGGTATTTCCCTTGCGGCTATGTAAATTAAAGCCTGATAGAGGCTTGGATGGATCTCTACTGAGATACCCCAAAAGTGAGCCTGACGGGCATCCCCCTTTATATCAGGTGTTCTCCGATCGACCATTTAGTGTTGTCCATACAGGACTGAGTATGTCGGTAAATTACGGCGTTGGAATATTAGAGAAAGGCGTGACGCACGGTGAGGTAAATCTACACTCCGGTTTTTACACATATTAGAAATATTAAATTTAACCGACTTCAAAAAAGGAGGAGGTTCTCAATTCGAAGCAATATTTTATATCTCACAACACTCCTTGTGCTACCGCTGTACTCTCTTTTATTAGACAATGCGTAATTCAGTAGTTCCGTGGAAACGTGTGATTGTATATTAGGAGACAAACAAACATACCAAAGTACTTCCGACTTTTATTTTACCCTTTTATGGGAACTAAAAGCTCCGAGGTTAGAAATGACACATTAGAAAGCCTACGTAAACATAATGTTAAGCCTAAAAATGGCACATAATCTAAATGTTCGGCTGTACAAAAGAATAGATGTTAAATAAACAGTATTCAAAATTAATCTCGGTGTTTCCTTTGTTCTTCTACATTGAACTCTAAACGAAATGCTGGGGGTTTTAACATCACTTCGTGGGTATCCACTAGACGAAATTTAGGCCAAGGTTATAAGTATTTGCAAAACTAGGTCAGGGTCCGGTTTGTCAAGTTACACTGGTGCCGTGACCAGGATATAGAGTCGTAAATCAATGTAGTTGATATTGGAGATAGAGACAATTTTATATCTGTTTGTCATTTTATGAACAATAACACACTGCGAACTATTTCCGTTTTCCGTCAAAGTGCTTTTGAGTTGGCTGCGCATTGATGTGTTACAGATTCCCCCGATTCGTCTGGTGAGTTGCTTGTTGTTACTCCAATCGACTGGTTGGGCTCAATTTCGGAGGCTCTAAGGCTCCATCAATAGACCGTCTCGAGTTAAAACCGCCCAGCACCTCTGCAGCGGTTGAGACGAATGGCGCCCCGCAGGTCAATACTCCTTTTGGGATGTCCCTACTCCCTGGGGATGGAAGCCAGCAGACGCGCTAGAACGGTACCAAACCCTGGTGCTTTCCTACAATCCGGGGGAGATCTTCGGAAAAGATCGCATGTGGGTGCGCGAAAATGAAATTCGAAGTCGTGAGTGGTATTGTTCGGGTTTTAGTATAGAAAATTCGTTAGAACATTACTAATTAATTTTAAGGACCTTTTGATTCTTTTTGTTGTTTTTTTTTTGATAAATTCGTTTCATTTTACCGTTAAGTTTGAACGAAAAAATGCGAAATTTTGTATATATATTTTGTAAACTACAACTGTTTTAGAAAAGAAGGGGGGCTTTTATCTTCTACTGGTATTTCTTTTTATTACGAAATAGTATTATTATAAATCATATTATTAGTATTAGTGGTACATTATTATTATTTGGTGATCGATCGACTTATTTTGTTTTATACTTTTTGGTTTTAATTTTAGTTAAGTCAAGTTGAAGTTTACTTAAATGTCCTCAAATAGCACAGTTGGATTATATAAGATATTGGAAGTATTTACTTAGGGGTTTGACCTAGTTAACAATTTTTGTCCTCTTTAAGTGCCAGTAAATAGTTTTGTGATTTAAATTTAAATTTTTTTAATTAAAGTTGGTAACGGGAGCAGGTCTGTCTGTTTGTGGTTCTTTTTGGTGCTCATATGCATTTCTCCAAAAAGACGGGGGAGAGTGAAATCCGACAACCGGGGGTTGATAATTAATTTAAATAATTTTTATATATAACATATATTCAAATTTTATTTCGGTGTTTCCTTTGTTCTTCCTCCATTACAGCTACATTGAACTATAAACGAAATGCTGGGGGTTTTAACATCACTTCGTGGGTATCCACTAGACGAAATTTAGGCCAAGGTTATAAGTATTTGCAAAACTAGGTCAGGGTCCGGTTTGTCAAGTTACAACATACTATAGACTCTTAACAACTAAAAAGAGATACAAGAACTAAAACATGAATCTTCATAAAGTAACAAGTTACATAGATATGAC